GGAAAATAATAATTTAATATTTGTTATAACTTTATTTGAAAATAGTAGAAAAAAATTGATTTGTAAGGCATGCATTTTTTACATTCCTTGAAACTACGTAATTTTTAATGACACAATCAAATTTTTCTGGAATGAAATCGGCTGAATAGTTTCTGAGTAATAAAACTAATAAAAAGTAAAATTTTGCACTGAATGAATTATTAAATAAAATCATTGCTAAATGATTATTTTTCTTTGGAAGTATTTTTATCTAAACGAACTTCACGAGATTTTGCAATGACATTGCGTAATTAATTTTAGAGATACCACCAAAAACGAAAAGAGTGAAATTAACATTAAGGGATGAAACATAATTTTGACCAGACCATTCTCTTGGCTAAACTAACTCACTATATTTTAATGTTCCAAAATCTAAATCCGATTAAAAAATAAATAAATAAATAAAAAACAAGTATGCTTATACAGAGAAAAAACCGTTTCGTATCCGTCTCTATAACTCAACTAATAGTTAGCAATAATTAAGCAGCATTTTTGANTTAAAATTTTTAACCCCTTAAAGTTAAAAGTTTAACCTTTTAGGTCTCTGCTCATTATTATTTTTACTCCTAAAATATCACTACTATTTTGATCAATAAAAAAAATATATCACAACTATGATAATATGTATAATTAACTATGTTTTAGTTGAATTTATGAACTGTTACAATTGATTGATATTTTTTTTTCTAGTAGAGGATAGTCTACTTTACTCTTCTGTCAAATAATACTAATAATATATTGGATTTTTTGTTAGTTAAAAATAGTTAAGTAAATAATGTTACAATTGACCCCACTCTACCCTACTATATAATAATGAAGTAACGGAATCATTAATAAAAAGCACTTCCATTAAATATATATAACTTTTTTCAGAGTGATTCGGATTTTTGATAGCAAAATTTTGGAGGGAGTAAGTAGCCTCAATCTGGAAAGTGAGGTTTCAGTTTAGTAGCGGTCGAAAGTGAGGGCCCCCTAATGTTAATTTTACTTTTTGAGTTTTTGCAAATATCTCTAAAACTGTTTGTGTAATTCCAAAAACTCTTTCACCCACTTATGAAACTGGTTTACTTGAAGAAAGTTTCATGGAAAAATAATTCTTAAATATTTGTTATAATTTTATTTGATAATAGTCGAAAAAAGATTTATTTGTAATTCAAGCAGGTTTTTACATTCCTTGAAACCACGTAATTTTTAATGACACATTTTTTTTTTTGAATGAAATCGGCCGAATAGTTTCTGAGTAAAAAAATTAATAAAAAGTGAAATTTTGTACTGAATGAATTATTAAATAAAATTATTGTTAAATGATTATTTTTCTATTGAACTATCTTTGACTAAATGAACTTCATGAGATTTTGCAATGACAATACGTAATTAAAATTAGAGACAACACCCAAAACGAAACGAGTGAAATTAACGTTAAGGGACTCAGAATTTTGACCGTTCTCCTGGCTAAACTTACTCACTAGATTTTGATAGTCCAAAATCTAAATCCGATTAAAGAATAAATAAATAAATAAATAAATAAATAAAAAACAAGTATGCTTACACAGAGAAAGTACTGTTTCGTGTCCGTCTCTATAACTCAATTAATAGTTAGCAATAATTAAGCAGCATTTTTTAGGTTAACTTTTTGGGCCATGAGGTTGGTTTTAGTACGTGAAAATTCGATCAAAAGTTTTCCCGGATATCTTTTTTTTCACAGTATGGTCGCTGCATTATATTTTATTCTGTTTTCTTCTCCTTAAAATAATATAATTAATGTACTCGAATAATGCGTAAAAAGGTTTTAAGTCGAATAATGCGTGTAAAGGTTTTAATGGGACTTTCAGAATTTTTTTTACCGCATGATAAAATTAGTATATAATAAATTTAAATGATTTGTTGATATTTAAAAATGTTTTAACGTTAGAAAACTGGAAATAGACAAAAGTCTCTTTTCAATTTTCGAACTTTTGCGAAGTGCCCAAATCTTAATGAATTTGATGACTTTTTGTTATTTTAAATCAGATGTACAATACTAGGGATCGGTATTTAAATCTGTAACAATAGATAATTAAAAGGAATTTAAAAAAGATTCGAGTAAAATGTTAATATCAAGATTCTTCGATACTGTAGAAGAGACAGATTCCTTATTGAAAATTCTTTATTCTTTATTGAATTCCATCTTTCTAGTATTAAAAGTGTAAAAGAATATGACTTTAATGACAACAAAACAGATTTCTTATAACAGTGTGAAGCATTATGGGACAGTAATTAGTAGAGAATACTGGAACAATAATTACTGGGTCGATATTTAGATAGTAACCTTAGATTTATTCATATAATTTAAACCAAAAATAAAAATTAATGAGGAATGACATGAAAAATTAAAAGTTTTACAAGTAGGCACCGTAGCAGCGTTAAATATCATTTATGGTTCAAATAATCGTTATTCTTCGACAGTTTAATGAATTTTAAACGATAACTTAGAATTAAATAGTTAAGTTGAGTTGAAAGAGTTTTAAACTCACGATGCAGAAGTTAAAGGACAAGTTTAATAAATAAGAAATACTTATAAGCAAGTTCAATTAGCAGACATTTTTCTTTCAGAAAAATGCCTGCTAATTGATCGGTTAATTCAGTTTTATTTCTGAAAAATGAATTGCTTAATATTTTAAAAGTGTGTTTAAAAGGTTGCTCCAGCTTGAACTTGACTCAATTTAACACCGAGAAAAAAAAATATTATCAAAACTACCAGAAAAGGGTACAATTTACTGTGTTTTTAGCTCTATGGGAACACCAAAAAAGTCGGTAATTGTTTGGTAAAATTAATAACAAAATATGGCTTTATAATATGCTATAAAGTTTGATGTATGTTATGAAATTTGGTAATCTTATCATGATATCTTAGAGCATGACATAAAAACCATCTGGGTGAATTTACTTTTCAGTTTTGTATTTCTTACTAAATGTGTGGTAATAGGAACTATAATTTTGAAAGCCAAAATTTCAGACAAACCATTACCCTTATGAACAAAAAAATTACAAAATGAATGGTTAAAATATTGTATATTTTGGTTTTATGAATCCGAAATTTTTTTTACCACAAATGTTACTATCGCACAGTACAGTAATTTTACCAGAATTGTTTTCTTCATGAAGTTGTTAATTATAATTTATTTACAATTTTTAGGAATGTAGAGCTCAGGGGGTGAAAAATATTAAGATGCGTTGTTTTCAATGTGAGAAAACCAGCTTTAAAATGGAGAGAAATATCAGGTGGTTAGGTAAGATACATATTTCCTTCAAAAACATTCTTATTTAAAGCCTTGGCAAAACAATTGATGTTCGATGTCAATACCTGACCACAACATGATGGGACAACTGAGTTCCCAAAATTTCGTTTGGCTTGTTCTTCCACTAGAAATTCATAAACATCAATGTTATTGTTCCAAACAAGATGAACAAGACGTGGATTTCAAATAATGAGACTTACTCTCAATTGATTTTTCCATAAATGGTGAGCCGTATTTTTCATTGTTGTCTGCTACTTCATATAAAAAAAAATATCTAGTTCTACAACCTAATTGTTTGTTTGAAAAGGAGCATACAGTCAGTGTGGATTGTACAATTTCTATTGAAGAGGCAAATTTTTCGTTTAGCATTAAGCTTACTAATGCTGTTATAGTAAAAAAAAATACTCCAGCTTGTCATCAAGACGGTTTATGGAATCAATATGGACATCGAATTAAAAAGGGAAATTCAAGGAAAAACATGGAATCCAGACAAAAACTGTAAAAACTGTGGTGTAATACCTAACTAAATTTGTTGTTGAAAAACTCCAAAAACTTGTACGAATAAATACTTCATTTCAAGTTAATACCGAATCGAGCTTTCGTATACACTTTAATGTGTGTTAGTTAAACCTAAACGTCAACAATTGAGAAAGCTTACACCAAGCTCAGATGCATTTACTCCATTCACGAATTATCTTTGTCGATTTTGGCTTACGTTAGAAAGCCGTCAGATGAGAACGGTAGATTGTATACAACTCGAGCACGAGAAGATGAAAGTTTATCTCGTGCGCAGCTGGACATTTTACAGAAACGTATGTAAACTGTCAAAAAAGGGCATGTATGTTTTTAGTAGTATAATAAAGATAATTAAGCTCTCATAAGAAGATTTACATTAATCTGTCAATCATATTAAATGATTTTGTATCTAACATTAAACTTTTATCCGCTTCTGTTTTGTTATGTTTAGTTCGCTAAGTTTTTCAATGCTGATAAAAGTATCTTTGAAAAATCAATGAGCATATTGTACAAACTTTAATGGCATATAAAAATCTTGCAAAAGCCCTAACAAAAAATACAAAACTCAAGGTGAATAAGTGGTCAATTTTTGAATAAAACCAATATATTTGTACAATTGCTGTTCTTTTAAAGTTCTGCTGATAACTCTGGTAAGTGAAATTTTTGCATGGATACATATAGTACTATTTGAAACTTTCAAACTATACTATCTGTTTTGACGCATGAAATTTTCGTGGGCTGCAATATCAAAATAAAATATTATTTATTGAAATTAACCCCTTCCTTCTCGCTCCCGTGAAAATGATGGGGGGAGGTATCGCCCTCTATTTCTCGCTCCCGTGAAATTTCCGGGCTGGAGTGTTCAGTAGTAACGCGCCAATAAGAATAAAACTAATTAATTTCTTTTGCCCGAAAAACATATTATTTCTCATTTTACACACCAGATGGCAGTACCAGGATATTTTTAAGGTAATTGTAGATAGTTAGTTTATTTTGAACTAGATATCAGCAGCAATCAAATACGTGTATTTGGCAAAATAGGCCATTTTATGACCGTTTTCTTGAAAATTAACCGATCGTTAAGGGGTTAATAAAGAAGTTATACACATTATTTATCCATCCCATGAGATTTTTATTTAATTAAACAATTTAAAAAAAATTTCTTACGAGTAAGGCGATAATCATGGGACCTGTTATAATCCAAACAAACGGGGAGAGACCGTATCCTTTCCAGCATAGTCTTTTACTGTATATTGACATTAATGTCATCCAAATGACAACACATATAAGTGGAATTCCTGAAAGTGAAATGAAATAAATTAATTTGAGATATAATTATCAATAATAAATAAAGTATTTATTAAACACAGTAAAGAACTTTAATTCATTAAAAAAATAAAAAAGTGGATCAATTTGGTTCTGCAAATCACTTTAAAAAATGAATGTTTCTTTTTTGAAACTTTCATGAAAATTTTTTGTCTTTGTCGAAACCGTTTCCTGATATATGCTCTGAGCAAAAATTTCGTCAAAATGACAAAATAGCTATTGCGATTTTTTCGAGGAAGAAGTATTTCGTCATTCTATTTCTTTCAAAAAAAGAAAAAAAAAACATTGAAGCGCCTAATGTATCTACATTTTAATAACCACTTTATCGTACCAAATAGATGGATTCATGTCACCCAAACAGCACAAGAAGGACAGTTAGATAACCTACACACATTCCCGAAACAGGTTTCGAACCGGGGAACTTCCTGACACGATGACAACTCCGTGACCACCATACGGACTTGTCGGTTTGTTTCGGTAATTTATTTTCGATCGCCTAGTCTTCCTTCTAGTTAAAAATCTCCCACAATGGGCTGCGATGAGATTCCGAGTTGAGGAAACATTTTCGTCATACAGAGTCGGGAGTTGTCGCAAATCACGTGATTTCGTGACGAAATGATTGTCAAAATTAATGAAATTCAACTTAAAGACTACTGAATCGTCAAAAGTGAGAGTTTCATTCCTGCGAGGCACTCAATTGACAGTTATATTAAATAAATTGGTTTGTTAAGAAAACGCTTCTTAACTATAAAAATTTCAATTCAGTTGATGGAATTGAATTAATCAAATAAAAAGATGTTGAAAAAATGAAGTTTAGAGAAAAGTTTTCTATTCTTTTGTAGTAAAAGTGGCAATAAAGAAATGAAGAAAAAAAAATCAATGTCCATGACGCCTTAAACACATCAAACTGTTTACGAACTAACTAATGGAAGTAAAGCACAAAATGCCACAAAACTCACGCAATGATTTTTTTTTAAAAAAAAAAATCTTGTTTAATGAAAGGGAATTTTATTCATTGACTACATTTTTAGGTAAACAAACGAAAAGAATATCGATTCTTTTCTCTCTCTCTAAACAAATCGATATAGTCATTTGGCGTGATATTAAATAACCAATTTCTAAATAGAGTATTTCTTAATAGCTTTTCTTAAATGTTATTGAATTTATTATTTTACGCATCATTATGTGTTCTAAGCTTTCTAAAAATCAATAGCTTTGAGAATTTATATACAGTGCGAGAAAAAATAAACGAAACATTCTGAACAACTTTTTATCGAATGATCGGATCTTCATGTACTGAGATTCAATCTTAATGGTTCGAGGGGGTAACCTCAAATATGCTAATTAGTTAGTTCAGACTGTATTCGATACAAAACGTTCTTTTTTTGAAAAACCATAATTTTTTTCCGTCGAGTTATGATTTCTGAGCCCAAAATATAAGTAGAAGCATTTTATATTTCATTTTATATCCGTCGTTGAACAGCCAACCCAATTTTTGGGTTTACGTCTACTAATGTTCAATTCGGTAGCATTGTACTTTTGAACCAATCCAGAAGACAAGGAAACTCTTGGACCAGTACCCCCAGAAGTATTGATTTGTCATGGAAACATGGAGGACTTTGCGACTCGACAGATTTAACGTGCATCAGTCACCATTTACTATTTCAGCCGGTGGGGATCGAACCCACGAATTCTTGGACATGGGCCCAACTCCCTACCGACCAGGCTATCCCGGCCCTAGGTAGAAGCATTGTTAAAAATATGGTCTTAATAGTTTGATTATGAGAGCGGTTGACAATTTAGACCCCTTAATGTTAATTTTACTTTTGTGTATTTCGTCATGTCTCGAAAACTTTTTAAATGAATTGCAATTTTTTTTGCACACAGATATAAAATTCGTTAATCCAAAATAATTCTCACGCAAAACTAATATTTTGAAAATTATTTATTACTTTTTATTATTCTATTTAATAATGGTAAAAAACAAGGTAAGTAAATTTTTTACATCACTTTAAAGAAAACATAATTTTATATGGCAAAAATAAAATTTAAACGAAATCAGTAGAATAGTTCAAGAGAAATCCAGTTTTAAAAATAAAGTCAGATAATAAACTTGTTTATGATAAAAATTTTGTCTTTTGCCACCTAAAGTTACAATCGTTAAAATGATGTAAAAATTTGAATATCTTGCAATTCAAAGCATTTTTTTAATACAATAATAAAAAATGAAATACAATAATAAAAAATGAAAAACATCTATTAAAAATTATGTTTTGTTGAGATAAGTGAATCGATCTTTAGATAAACGAATTTTATAATTGTGTGCAAAAATTTTTAGTGTCTGCAGAAACAACAAATAAAGTTATTTGAAATAAAAAGGAGTTTATTATAAACGAATTATTTATTTATTTCACATCAATCATATATGGCTTTTTTTAATCATAAATCCTTGTGCTAGAGTTTCTAAAAGATTCATTTACGAAAAAGATGATACATAGGGAAAATCAATTTACTCTGACTTGAATCATTTTTTTTGTGTCAATATCTAATAATTTTACCGATGCAGTAGCAAAATCTTTAGAATATATTTCACTTGAGTATTTTTACGGTTGTAGAAAAAATGTAGACATAATTTTCGATACTCAAAAAATTGATTTTAATGGGAGGTTTTATCAAAAAACACTTGTACCTTTTAGTCTATTCGTTTCGCGAACAAGTTTTATACATAAAAGATGAAAAGCACTATCTCTAAAATGAGTTAAAAAATAAGTTGTCCTGACTGAATCTTTTGAAGACCTTGGCTCACTCTGGGTGGCAGTGCCAAAATTTGACTATGAGGATTTTTAAAGTAAAAGGCAATACAGTTTTAATAGTATTAACTGCATTAATGTTAAATATGCTGGTTGTACAGCCTTGGCATGCTAATTAGTCTTTTGAGAATATCATGCTTATTAGTGCTTTCTATTTTTTTTTAAAAACTTTTTGTGCTTTATACGTTTTTTAATCATCCTTTAATAAACATGCTTTGTTCTTAAATCGTAATTTCGAGTACTCATGTAGACAAATATATGTGACATCGAGTGCAAGTAGAATTTGAAATTATTTTAACTCCAAATAGAATTCATCGACTAGCGAAATTTCGATCACTTTCCAAGTAGCTAAAATGTTCAAATTTCAACTGCATCTGTATGCTTGATGACATTACAAATTTCAATCGTCTGCTGAACCACCAAAAGCAGAATTTATTTCTAAAAGAAGTTCAAGGAAAATTTAAATTTCCTCCACTTGTAAGAAGAAAAAAATTTGCACCAATATCAACCCCTGGATGCATTTCTTTTACTAATCCAGTTAAATTTTATTAAAGATTTAAAGTTGGTGATATTTGCTTTATTTGTCTACGTAAATTCACAGTTATTGTGCATGTTTGTTCTAGGTTTAGGACAAAGGGTTTCAATCAGCTCTATATGAACAGAAATTCTTACATGAAACTAAAATTAGAAAAATAAAAATAATAAAATACAATAAAATTTTAAGATCTACGTTTTTCAAGTGACTCAAAAAGGAGAAAATAAGTTTATTTTGATCCCATGTAAAACGAGAGTGTAGGCGCATCACTTTCGAAAGACGCACGGGAAGGTTTTCGGATGGTGTTAAGTTACGTAAATGATACGCGTAATATTTTTTTAATTTTAAATCTGAAACAGAATAAAAAACTTCTTTTTAGTCTATGTCGTTTATAAATTTGTTTTAGTTCATTTTATTATTTGTGTTCTTATAATCAAGCACACAAAAATTCATTTTTTAGATCTGTTTGGATTTTTATGTGGCTTAAAAAAGAAAGAAATTCTTACCCCATCCAATGGCATGGTAAATTTTGAACGGTGGTTCCTGCTGAAATACTGACACTGTAATACTACTGTGTAATAAAAGCCCTTCTACAAACATCCAATGAATGCATGTCATAGCGGCATACATTTTTAGAACTAGAACACCTTTGCACAACCAGTCCTGTAAAAAAAGAAAACAAAATAGCCTTACAACGTGTTTTAGGATCAACACATTAAATTGGTTTTATAATTATAGTATTATAATCAAAGAAATGCATTTATGATTAAAAAACATTTTTTTCAGAACACAGTGTTTTTAAAAAAACCAACCAGTGGAGAATTTTGAATAAGTTTTTTAAATTTTCATTTTTTTGCACATCAAGATACTCTTTGCTTAATAGTTTAATGAAGTAATAGTTTGTAATTTCTTATTAATAATTAATTTAGACAACTAAAAGAAGATATAAATTCTAAGGTTCCTTAGACTTTCACATTAGAAAGCAACCTTTGAAAGAAACAAATAACCTTATTAACCAACGACCGTAATGATACTGCTGTAATCAAACTTAAAAAGTCGAATGAAAAAACGAATAGGAATCAAGCTTAACAATTCAAAAGGATTGATATCATAGGAATCGAACTTAACAAATTGAAACAACTGACATTGTAGTAAATGAACTTAACAAATATAATGGATCTGCATTTAGGAAATAAACATAAATTGTAAGAATCGACATTGGGTAGACAGAACTCAACAAAATTGAAAAAATCGACGTCGTGTTAATAAAACCTTTCAAATTTTTTTTTAAAACGAAAATTGAGGAAATTTATCGCTGTTTACTAGCAGTAAATACTTGCTACAAAATGTTTAGCTCAGCAGCTTTGCAAATTTGAATTAAATGATTGAAAAATATTTCATTAGCTCAGTGCATAATGTAGTACATACACCCAAAAACAATTTTTGTAAGTAAAAAGTCACTTCGGTGTAGTTTTCTACAGATTAATAAAAACAATTAAACATTTGAGAGTTGATATATTTTTGAGAGAAAATAATGATAATTATGCGTGGCATGATAAAACTGATACCTGGTATTTATGCATGATATGGCAAAAATGATAATTAGCCTGATTACAAAGAGGTTTTTGTCTCCTAATTTAGGCATGAAATTACAAGGATATCGAAAATTGTGTTTTTTGGCTCAAATTTCCCATATACATATGAAGTTGAGTAAGTTTAATTCTGTTTTGTGTAGTAATGACAAGAGGAAAAATGCGTCAAATTTTCTGACTTACGCTTTTTAGAGTGTCATTAACTTCGAACCTCTTGTGGATGCATTTAGAAGGGCAGCTTCGGTGGTACAGTCTAGTACACAGGTGACAAATCTATGGTACGCGTGCCACTAGGTGGAACGTAATTTGCCAGCCTGTGGCACCGATGTGCGTTTTAAATTATTTTTATTCAATTAAATTCCCTGAAGACACGTTGCAAGAAAAGAACTCAATATTAGAGGTTATCAAAGGCGGATTCAGAAACAAATACGATTTATGGCGTCAATATGGAATTTTCCTGGATGAAAGGGTGACTATGCTCCCTTCACTATTGAAGTTAAAGGTCGTAGGGGAGACGGGCTGATTGGCTTTTTCTTGGGAAGCTAGTGTAAAGAGAGAACCTAAACTAAATTATAAAATAAGAAAACATTTTCAGTATGGCAAACATCAATGGATTTTGCATCAAGGATATATGCATCATCATGATTAAATGATCGATTGTAAGAAACCGCTTTGTTTCATATTTAAAGCAGAAGACTATACTAATTACACAATGTAATTCTATGGTTTGAAATAAAAGTAGCGGCTTGTAGATTTTTTCTTAAAAAAATATATCAAGCGGCGCACAAAACACCTAAAAATAATAAACCGTAATCGAAAAACTTTCTCCATCTCTGGTCTAAGAGATAAATATGATGCAATACTATTTCATATTTGATGATTCGTAGACAATTTAATTAATTGTATACAGCAATGCACTGAGAAAACAAAATATATTATTTGTTTGAAATGTTTATGGATTCTTAAGATGAACCAAAGTAAGCAATAAAGGTTAAAATGCAATAAAGGCTAGGAAGTACACTAATACGGCTCAACTTAGCACCATAATAAGATAATAAGATTGTATATAACTTTAAACGATGTTATGGTTCGACGTGTTCCAAACTTTCCAACCGAAGTTTTTAAAACCAAATATTTTCTTTAACTGTAATTGAAAGTTTATAGCTTTAAATATGAAACTAACATAACGTTATAAAAATATGATTATTTTTAGTTATTTCGATGTAGATTTTGCTCTAATATGAGAACGGAATTTTTCTATAAAAAAACCCGATCAAATTTATGAAATATAAATTGCTAATAAGTGTGGAACTAAAAAATAACTAACTACTAATATAACTATAAAAATAACTAAATTATCAGAAAGTTTCGCAGTTTAGACGAAGAAATGTGAAGGCATGAAAGTCGTAACAAACAACCCCGGGACATTTCTCGACGTAAACAACGTCTGTTTGAACTGTGACCGCGTTTCTGAAAATATCTTAAAAATTTGTTCATGAAGTCTGAAAGTTATTTGTTCTCTTTAAGTAAATAAGATGACAGTTTGTGATATAATGAAATACTCGTAGCATTCTTATCCTCATGACTATCTTTGAAAATTAAAGGCAGAATGATCAAATTATATTTGACATTTTCTGTCGATTCAGGCACGATCGCATAAGATAAATACTAAGCACTAATATTTTTTAAAAAAAATGAGTAAAAGAAACATAAAGCACTTATGTTAAATGAAAAAAATATTGGTTGTGCTTAAATCTAAAATTACTTTAGAAGTATTCTTTGGAAAATATTTTATAAGTTCCTAATTGATACTACACTAATCTTCGTAAACAATAAAAAAAAGAAACAATTAAACTTTTAAAGTTATTGTTAATAAAAATATTTTCTTAAATGTAACAGAGAAAAATTTTTTAAGTTCATTGTTCCAATACATTGTTTAGTCGATCGATATAAAATATAATAGGCTTGTTGGTTTAACTTCTTTTGTAATTTGACTTCTTAAAGCTTGCGTTCGGTTAGATCTGACGAGAAAAAAAATATCCAACATCGTCCATTAAAATGCTTAAACACTTCCTAAAAATCCCTGCTTTATTTGCTATAGGATACTGCTTAGTCCGGGCATCTTCTTCTAATAATTTGAAATGGCACGGATTTTCACTTGCGATTGCTTCCGGTTTGGTTTTAGTCTTGTGGAACGAAAAATTGAGAAAAAGATGGAATGGAACAAAAATCATTGAGGCACGCAGTGAAAGTTCCAATAATTTGAGTTGCCAGGCTTCTAAATTCAGTGATGAGTCAACTTATGATGCCGGAATTGAGAATAATTTTACTACATCTAATAGTGAGACAAGTTTGGACGATGATACCAGATACGACCTACCAGAAACTTTGATGCCAATCTGCTGTCAGTGGGTGCAAAATAATGATCATTTCATGCCAGATGCTGAAGAGATTGTCAACGAAGAAAAAGATCCAATCTATGCTGAAGAAAACTTGACACACCATCTCTTTGTCAAAGACGAGAGACCAAGCATGAATGAAACTCCCTCAAATACTGATATCCCTTTAAACTTACAACTATATAAAGGTGTTGCAGATGGAGGTGAAATAGAAGATCATCTAGGAGAAGTTTCAGTATCGAGAAAGTTCAACCCGCCCTCAATGATATTGCAGGAGGATAAAATATCAAAGATGGAAATTACAAGCAGTATTAAGATCAATGCTGACCATAAAGACCACCTGGCAAATTTTTTTGCTCTCGACGGTATAACATCAAGCAGCAGTGAAGCTTCTTCAAAGTCTGATATCCCTTCACAATTACAACTAGATGAAGGTGTTGCAGACAACTACGAAGTAGATGATCATTCAGAAGATTCAGTGCCGTGCGAATGGAACAACAGCAAAACGGTTTTAATGCAGAAGCGGAAAAAGTCAGTAAATTATAAACGTTTGAGACGAGCAGTTCGTGCAGTTGGTACATCTCTTTTGCGTTCACTGATATGCTGTAGAAGTTGTGAGAAAGCTTAAAATTTTGTTTTGTTCATCTTTAGACTTGTACATATGTGTTGCTATTTAAAGAAAAAAAAACATGAAATAAGCAGGAAATTCTAAATAGTTTCAAGATTTATAAAAGAACTGGAACGTATGTAAGCTTTGCATCTGATTTGGTTTGTCTTAAAGAAAAGATGGGTCTGATGTAAATGGAACTGAAATTGAATGAGGATTTGGTTAAAAATCAGCCAAGTGACAGAAAATTAAAAGTTAAGAGAAAAGTGCACTTAAGGCAGATAGATGTTTAAAAAAACAATAGTACTAAAGTGGATTTTCCTTAAAAAAAATACAGGCTTAAATAGTAATACTAAATTTTATTCTAAATCATTGTTAAATAGCACACCTGACCTCAAAAATATTTCGATCAACTGCTAAGCTATTGCAATAATTTTCATCAATTTATTTCTTCAAAATTACGACAAAAAATATTAAAGAGCTCAAATTTAATCTACTATGCACAAGTACATAGTACATTTACATTTAATTTAAAGTATGCTTGCATGACAATACATATAAAATATATGTAAAAAGTGTAAATGATCTTAAAATTGGCATGAAAGGGTACATAAAATTCTATTTATGTATGTATGAATGGAAGTATGAATGAGTTAAAATAATTATCAAAATTCCTTTTAGGATTGATGAAATTTTAATTTATTGCTAAAGTTCTGTCATTATAATCTTAAAATTCAATGAATGTAAATGAGTCAGGTAAGGGCTTTACATTTGCCTTAAGTCGCTTTTCTCTTAGAGTGTTGTTAACATCCTTGTGTCAAAAGAGAAAGGTTCAAGACTGTTCAGATGTTGGTTTTGTTGAAAGATTAAAGAATGATATGATGTTGGTGCCAGAGAAAGTAACCTGATTAGAAAAGATGTTGGAATTTTAGAGGCTGGATTAAGACTGTTCAGATGTTGGAATTGTGAGAGTATTATGGCTTGGTCAAATATTATTTTTATCCTGCTTCTTGTTTTGGTGAAAAATTTTGCATTGAGAGCTGGAGTTTAAGTGCTCAATGATTT